CAGGATTAGACAAGGTCATAGGGCAGAGCTCCAACGATTGAATCCTGGTCACTGTGGGTGTATGTGTGAGTGAAAAGGAGGGAGGGAGGGAGAGGGAGAGAGGAGACACATACGTACACAATGCAATCCTTGTTTCATTCCATGTAATGCTCTTCACTACCTTAGGATGCTGCCAGAAAGAAAGCAAACACCAGATGCAGCCCCTTGACCCTGTACCTCCAAAACTGATTTCCTTTATAAAGTAGCCTACCTCCGATATCTCATTATAGTAAAAAACAGATAACACACTCTGCAATTCCTTCAGCTACAAACTAGTCACAGTAGACAAGAACCTTGTTAGCAGAAACTCAAACTTTATCCAAAGACAACTGTTAGATAAACCAGCTTAAGTGAAAAACTAGTCTCTGATTGCGGGATGCTCAACAGCTAAGATCTGACTGGGAGACTGCAATTTGTCTTCAGAGCACTGGGACAATTAGACAGACAGTGGTGAGGATTCCATGAGTAAAACAGACAAAAGCAGCCTTCTTCTACTAGGATGGGCAGCAAGGGCAAGAAAGGAAAGTAATATGGAGATAATGTCACACATCTACCTACTCCTTACTGTATGCAAACCACCTTCATTTCTACCTCCACTGTTAGCACAAACAGCTCCCTCAGTCTGGAACACCATCCTCAGACCTACCTGCAGCTGTCCTACCTAGTGGTGCCAGTGTCTTCTGTGGCTGATGTAGGCCCATCAAAGAGTATCCCCTCTGCATTCTGCTGTGGCTGTGCCTTCTGTTCCAATCCCCATCTACTCTAGGTCAGCTCCATGTACAGACTCCAGCCTTGAAGCCATGAAGACCCCAATCTTTTCTTATTTCCAGCAACTAGAGCTCCTCTAAACTGACTGACTCACAGTTACTGTTGCTGTAGCTCCAGGGACTGAGCAAAAAGTTCTTTAGATAATAATTTCCCTCTGTCAGATCCTATTCTCTAATCTATTCATTGACCATTTTAAATTTTACATACTCTACAAATGTTTCTCCAGTCCTCCCTTCCAACCTGTTTGCCACTATCAATCCAGTTTCTATACACCCATCCTCAGGACCAGTTATACTGTATCATCATTTACCTGTTTTCTTAAAGAATTTACATGTCTTGGTGCCTTGGACCAATTTAATCTGTTCACAGCTATCTCTAAGCACCCACCACCCTACCTGCTATCTGGCAGAATTTCAAATGCCATTTGGCTTGTAGTTTAGTTGGCACTATAGTGGATGAGGTTCCCTTGATAGAGAATAGAGCAGCATTTCCAAAGGCCAAGGACTCAGGGCCATGGCTATTGGGAAATCAGTCAGGAACCTTCTTCGGGATCATCCATGTATACCCATTTGCCAAGTCACTGTGAGAGCTGAGATCCTTGAAGGTCAATGAGTTTGTGCAGCCACTTTAGGAGTTCCCAGGAAGAAGACATTCCAGTGTTCTGATTGCTGAGACATTAGGCACACAGAGGTAATGACTCTGTGACAAATCTCTGACTCCATCAACTTCTCTTCTTACCACTAGACTGGCTCAGTAACACAGAGCAGAGGAAAATACTTGCTTTCTTCATACCTATGAGATGCTGACCCCTGTTAATACTGTAGCAGAGAAAGCCCTTACCAAGGGTGTCCAATGTTTTGCATTGCAACATGATGTTGCCATTTACAAACGTGGTGGGCTACATTCGTAGCTACCCTAGGATGCATGCAGCCTGTGGATGTAGACAACACACACAATCAATCAAGAAAACCGTGGGAATAATCAATCCTTAAGTTTTTCATTATATTGATCCTAGGTGAAATGTTAAAATTACTAGGCCGCTGCATCAAAGAGTCCAAGTTCCAGCAGCAGCGTGGAGGAATCTGAGCTGTAAGTACCCAAATCACTGTCAATGAGGAGAGGCCTCCTGCTCCATTCCCTGCAATTGGATAAATGCCCATATCTACATGCATTTATTACCTTCCCATCAACAATCATGAAGGCAAACCAGAGACACTTTATTCTGAAGGGAAGGACAGCAATCCTATTTGTGACTCCTGCCAGATGGTTAAGTGGCACTGCTGCCACGTCCCTAGAAGCATGTGGATATACTATACAACCAGTACTCACAGAGCTGGGTTCACAAGCTGGGTTCTGATTGGCTCAGAACAGAGACCTGTTCTTATACACTAGTCAATCAGGAAAAAACACCTCTCCATTCATTAAACACTAAATCATAAAATGAGCCACTGGTCTATGAAAGGAGGGATTATAAACAGAAGAGGCAGATCAACTGAAACAAAATAAATCCTAAAACCTGCACTTTGTTCCAGCACATGTATGTTGCTATTGTGTTAGGTTTCTAGTGGAGGGAAAAGCAAAAACCCAAACACAAGTATCATTCACCAGAAGCAGGAAAAGTCTGTACGTAGCCAGTCAGGGCCTGAAACTCCACCTTTGAACATTGACCCTAAAATATGTTTCCTGAGCTGTACTGACGGACCAGCCCTGCATTGTAAGAGCAAGTCACTCTGCCTGCTTCACAGGAAATCTTGCTGCTTACCTCTTCTCCAACTTAAAGGTTATGCTAAATTCTAACATAACCCCTCCAAGAGAAGGCCATTAAAAGAAAAGTTAAAATGTGACCTCAATGGGGTAAGAACCTAGTAAGGCCTAGTATATAGAAACCACTTGCTATTTGCCAAACAGACATGTTCCTAGGAGAAGTCATTGGCTTCCTCTCCTGCTCAGAGTCCTTCAGTAGCTCTTTACTGCTCTTAAGATCAAGTGTGTTTCTGATCAGGATCCTCTGTGGTATGCCTCTGTGTCCTGTTGTCCTCACCTAACCCTAGCATTCTGCCACCTTGAGCCTCTGGCTGTACTCCAGGGGTCCTCTGCTGTCTTCTACAACCTACACACATGGTTTCTCAGGCCTCACACTCTTGCCCCCATCTGTCCTCCTTTGCCTAGCCAACTCTTTCTTGATCTTTTCATGTCAGGTAAGGATTAATCCCACCAATACTACATCCCTCCTACACTAACCAACTAAGAGTCCTTTTCCTGTTTTCTTCTCCTAAGGTCCGTTTTCCAAGGTAGGGCCTAGGCATTTCTTGATCATGACTATGTCCTTATTGCCTGAACTTGAGCAGATTCTTGGGAAATATTTGGTGAAGGACTGCAAGACACCAACCAGGTAGGCTTGATCTCAACAAGGGAATCAGACAGTTCTTTGGAATGAAGAGTCGTTTCATTCAGGTGCACTCAGAAGAGCTCCCAAACCTACAGAATGAGGGAGGAACTCAGGACAAGTACCAGCCCCACTCACTCCTGCCCCTTCCCATTTCTTATTCCAAGAATGGGCTCTGCACAGCCCATCACTATCCCTAAGGTTACATGAATAAGAACCAGGCGCTACTACAAATCTGCTGAACATCAAATATAGAATAGCTGGGGTTGTCGGTTTAAATAAAATCTTTAGGTGAACTGGGACATTCTTAGCACTAAGCCTATCAATGGGAAAAAAGGGGGCTCTCTGAAAATTTACAGTTTCCAGAACCAGAGGAAATGGCAAACCCAACCATGGTATTCCTGACCCTCAACCATTTAGTAAAAGCAAACCAGTGATGAAGCAATCAAAATGTGAGCTCTTCTTTGCATCATCCTAAATTAGGACCTGCGTCAAACAATCTCCACCTCCCCCTTCCCCAACATTAACAACAGTAACAAATGAAAAACTTTAGAATGGACTGGAGGGATGGCTCTCTCTCCTTGTAAAACTAGAAGGGGGTAAAATCTTGGAAGTTTCATTATTCTTAAGGAAAAAAAAATGTTTAAAAAGTCATCCTAGTCATCCTGTGTAAGAAATGAATTGCTGCTGCTTAACTTGGTCAATTGTGTGCAAAGTGGATTAATTCCAGTTGCAGGCAGGAAATGTTCACTTCAGAGCTGGTGACAACTCTGACAGAACACCAGGAACCTAAACGTGATAAGAGGGTTAGTTGAGTTAGCTGTAGTTTACAACTTAAGTCTTCCATTCTAACAGAAAACCGTTCAATCGGGACTCCCTGCAGCAAGGAGTCTAGAAACAAAGCACTTCCTCCTTTTAACCGTAAAACTTCAAACCACAAAGGTGTTAGGAAAGAGGGAGGCTAGCAGAAAAGCCTAATTGTCTATTCTTCCAAGCTGTTTATTGGATCGTTAAAATCTTACAAAGACTACATAATGATTGTAATTGTTGAACTCAAGGTGGGTCTGGGCTGCTTGTACAGAAGTCACTCACTTTCAAACTAGAAAACACTTTCCCTGAATTTCTTCAAAAAGACTCTTTCAAGCGATATCCTGCCAGCAATTTATCTGTGGCCCCTGAGGGAGTGGGGATGGTGCACACCATCTTGCACACCTGTTGTCAGGTGACACAGCCAACAGCATCCAGCGCACTGGCTTTCCACTCACCCCACCCCCAGCGACTCTCTCTCTGCTGGCCTTCTCCGCGCGCCGGGAGCCTAACGGCCTTCCGGAGTCACCTTAAAATAACACCTCACCACCACAAAGCAAACAAAAGGCGTGCAAGAGCCGTGGGGTGTCCGTGGTGGCTCTCCAGCAGCCTAGGCCTGGGCTTCGGTCAGTGAGGGGCAGCTAGGCCTCCCCCGCCCAGGCGTCCCGGCCAGGGGGCCACACCAAGGCCCCGGGCTCCGCCCGATGTATTGTGCCGGGGTGGCCCACGCGCGGGCCGGCTGCGCCAGTACAACTCCTCGCGCGGGTCCCCGCCTGGGCAGTCAGCGCGGGCCTCGGAGTCCCGGGCCTGTCCTCGCCAGCTCGCCACAAAGCGGCCAGCGCGGGCACGGTGCGCTTCCGGATAAGTTGGTTTTCAGGTTGGACCCGCCCGGCCGGCGGGAGGCCGGATCCCTTGGAGCCGCCCGGGAGCCAGGCCGGCAGCTAGCACGGCGGCGGGAGGAGCGGAATCGGCGCGGCTCGGAGGCCCGCCGGGCACTTACGGGGCGACTCGGCGGCAGCGGCAAGGTGTCCAGCCTGGGCCCCGTCGGCCGCTCGCGCCTTTTCTCTCCGCGCTCCTGCCGGCCCCGCGTGCCTCCTCGCTTCCCGCCCGCGCGACCCGCGCTCGCGCCCTCCGCCCGGCTGCGCTGGAACCAGTGAACTGGAACCAGTCGCCGCGGCCCCGGGGTTCCCACAATGCACAGCGCGTCGCTCGTCACATCCCATCTCAGCCCCGCGCGTCCGGCCACCCCTCCCCGCGCCACCCGCGCCCCAGCCTTGACCCCGGCCTGCACTGAGCCCCCGAACGTCAGCCGCCCTGGCCCGGTGCCCCGAGGCATCGGTCTGCACGCCCGAGGAAGGTTCGATCCTTGAGCTACATGCTCTTCGCCAGGGCTTGTGTGCCTTGTTTTGAACTCGGGCCTTTCGCCGCCTCATTCCTGTAACCTCATCCACACGGGAGGGGCCACAGTTCTCCCCATCAGTGCAAATTTCCCAGGTCTCAAGCCCGTGCCCACTGTCTTTAAATACAAGTCATAGTCAAACCCTTGTCTGCCCGCAGATCAGACACTGAGCCATCTTTACTCCCACTCATTGGATTCTTCGCTGTCAGATTCGCTTCATGTCTGGTCTTGCTTTGTGAACAGAAGCAGTTAGCTCCCTCCACTGAGCAAGTGTTTGTTGGCTATTGACTCCGAATGGGACTTGTTTGTATTATCAGTAAATGTTTTTGTTTGTTTTTTGAGACAGGGTCCTGATAGGTAACGTTACATAGGCTGGCCTGGAACTTCTTTCATGAACAGCCTGGCCTCGAACTGCCTCTGCCTCCCTAGTGCTGGATCTGACCAAGCAGTAAATCTTTTAACTCACGTGAAAAATAAACAAACAGGTCAACAACCAGAGGAAGGAAGGGCAGCAAAGTCCACCCACATAACTATGTAACTGAATACTACCTCTAGGTCCAGGCTGCACTGGAATTAGCATTCACAACTTGCCCCCTCATCTTGATGCCTTATACCAGATTTTAAAGACATGCAAAACTGTCAAGTACCTCTCATCCATACATGCCTTGTTTCAACTAAATACCTAGGACATACATTGCACCGTGCATCAACTTGGGTACTGGATATGAAGCAGTAAACAAAACAGGCAAAAATCCCTGCTCTCCTGGAGTTTGCAGTCCGGTGGGAAAAGAAAAGCAAGAGACAAAGATTATTATAACATGGTTAAATTCTAAACAGGAAAGCATAATAGGAAAGTAAGACAAGAGTGTGTTTAAAAGGTGGTCTCTGTCAGGCATTTAGTGCACACCTTTAATTCCGGTATTTAGGAGGCAGAAGCGGGCAGAGCACTGTGAGATCAAGGCCAGCCTGGTCTACTTAGAAACTTCCAAGCCAGCTAGGGCTATAGGGAGACAAAAGCAGGCTGGAGATGGCTCAGTGGTTAGAGCACTGGCTGCTCTTGCAAAGGAACCAGGTTTGATTCCCAGCACCCACATGGCAGCTAACAACATCTGTAACTTCAGTTCCAGGGAATCCACTACATGGGTGCACTTAGATACATAGAAGTGTCACGCTCATCTACATAAAATAAATGAACAAATTTTTAAAAATAAAAAAAGACAAAAAAGCAAAGAAAAAAGGTGGTCTCAGTGAGGGAGAAACATTTACAAAAAGGCCAGTAAAAGAAGGCACCAAACCATGTGGCTATCTGGGGAAGGCATCTTCCAGGCATGCAGCTCTGAGGCAGAAGCATATCTGAAACTATTATGAAACAGTATGAGGTTTGGAGTCCAATATATGAAAGGAAATGTATCAGACTTTCTGTCATTGTGACAAATCATTGAGGAAAAACAATTTAAAGGAGAAAGGATTTATTTTTGTTTTGACGTACAATTTCAGAGGTTTCGATCTGTAGTCATTGACTGTTGGTTAGGGCCTATGGTGAGGCAGAACATCACACAGTGGCAGAAGCGTGTGGCAGAGACTGCTCAGCGCAGACGTGGGTGGGGGGAGAGAACACCAAGGCAAGATATAACCCTCAAGCCCATATCCTAAAGTTTCAAGAGTTTCCCCAAGTAGTATCACCAGCTAGAGACCATGCCTTCAATAATTAACTTATGAGGAACATTTCATATTCATGCCATAATATTCTTCCCCTAGACTCCAAAGGTGTGTGACCATCTCATAATCCAAAGGTGTTCAATCTCCAAGACTCCCCGTAGTTTTAATATTTCCAGCATTAAGCATTCAAGTTCAAAGTCTCTTCTGAGATTCAAGACAAACTCTTTGAAAAAAAATTTTTATTTATTATTTTAAGTTTATGTGTATGAGTGTATTGCCTGCATGTATGTGAGTGCACCTGTGTCATGCAATGCCTGTGAAGGTCAGAAGAGTGTCAGATCCCCTGGAACTGGAGTTACGGACAGTTGTTAGCCACCATGTGGGTGCTGGGAATCAAACCCAAGTCCTCTACAAGACCAGGCCCCTCAAGACAAACTCTTAACTGTGTACAAAATTTAAAAAGCAAGTTACATACTTCCAACATAGCCCTGTGTAAACACTCCCATTCCAAACAGGTGGAGTGGAAGCTGGGCATGTTGGTGCTGTGCTGGCTTTTAATCCCAACACTGGGGACGCAGAAGCAAGTTAAGATTTATCTGACTCAAAGTTTTAGAACTTCAAGGCAGGGGGCATGATAGAGCCGAGCAGTTCACACGCTGAGAGCATGCCTGCACTCATTGGCCTTCTCCAGACTTCCAGCCTATAATACGCTGCCACCCCAATTAATAGCAGATTTTCCCTTCTTAGTTATTCCCCCCAAAGATATGTGTAAATCTCCTAGGTGCTTCTTTTTTAAAATATATTTTAGTAACTCTTTAAGGATTTTATAGAATGTGTTTTGATCATAAGCATCTCTTATTCCTCGCCCTATCTCCTCCCAGATCCACCCCATCTCCCTATCCCTCCTAACTCCATGTCTTCTTTCTTTCTTTATTTTTTAATAACCTACCAAGTCCAATTTGTCATGGGTATGAGGCCATCTAGTTGAGGCTGGTCAACCTACCAGGGACCACACTCTTAAAGAAAACTGACTCTAATAAATAAAATATTTTTTTAAAGGAGAGGGGCTGGAAAGGGGGCTGGAAAGATGGCTCAGTGGTTAAAAACACTGTTCTTGCAGAAGACCCGGGTTTGAATCCCAGCACCCACATGGCAGCTAACAATTGTCCATAACTCCAGTCCCAGGGGATCTGATAGCCTCTTATGTCTTCCATGGGCATTGCACAACACGGGTGCACTTACCTACATGCAGGCATAACACTCATACACATAAAATTTAAAAAATAATAATAAATAAAATACTAAAAAAAAACAAAAAAAAACCTGACTCTCCCTCCCCCAGAAATCATAACTGTCTATAGCTTCTCAGCTAAGGGTGCAGCCTTGTGAATCCCTCCCCCTCCATGCTGGAACGTTGACTGGTTAGATCTTGAGGAGATCTTGTGCAGGCCCATGCAGCTGCTGTGAGTTCATGAGTACAGCAGTCCTGTCCAGAAGACATTGTTTTGTCCCAGTCCTCCCAACCTTTGGCTCTTACAATCTTTCCTCCCCCTCTTCTACAACGGTCCCTGAGCCCTGGTAAGAGGAAGTGTGATGAAGATGTCTGACCACACCACAAGCACTTATTCTCTTTTCTTTGACCAATTGTAAGTTTCTGTATTAACCGCCTGTCCATTGTAAAGGTACTCATATGATGAGGTCTGATTGCTGCACTAATCTATGGATATAGAGATACAAATTTAGAAGGCAGTTTGAGGACTGGAGAGATGGCTCAGTGGTTAAGTTTGCTTACTGCTCTTCCAGAGGACCTGAGTTCAATTCCCATGTGGGCAGCTCACAACTGCCTGTAATTCCAGCTCCCAGGGGTTCGATGATGTCTTCTTCTGATCTCTGCAGGCACTACACTCATGTACACAACCTTTCCCTCACACACATATACATATAATTGCAAATAACAAAAAGTAGAAAGCCTTAGAGGATAATTTGGTGCTATGCACATTTGGAAAACTAATAGTAATAGGTTCACCCCTGGGGGGCCTCTGAACTTAGATTTACAGTACCAGGCAGGTGTTTCCTCCTGTGGAGCAAGTCGTAAATCCAATTTTAAAAAATGATTGGTTACCCTCATAACATTTGTGCCACTATTGTACCCATGAGCATATCTTGCCATGCCATGGTTCACAGCTGGGTGAGACTGTTGATGACTTTTCCCGCAGCAGCCTACGTAAGCACCTTCCAATACTATGAAGCTAACCAGCAGGGAGGAAGTTCCCTGGTTAGTATCAACTTGATTTCTCCATGTCCTGTGACCAATGTGTGTGTGGTATCTTCAGCAACAACATCTGTTCTGATGGGCAACCAGGAGCAGTAGTAATAGTCTGTATTGTTTGGTGGGTCTCCAGGACACTCCTGACCAACAAAATCAAGGGCAGTATCTCACACCTGGCACTGGACTTTTTATTTGGCAACCTATGGTTTCTGGAGGAGCATTATCCCCTGTGTAGGGCAGCCTCAATCTCTACCCTCCCCTCCCATCTCTCTCTCCACTTAAATCTCCCTCCCCCTTTCCCTTTCATATCATCTGTATTCTATCCACCTTTCCTTAAGTTCTTTCTTCTCTCTCCCCACCAGCAGTTCCTTTCTAGGTTTCTGGAATCTATAGGTATTCCAAGTTTAGATTTGTGTTGTAGGTGCTTCTTAATCTATTTAGAATGGCAGTCAAGATTAACCATCATAGGAAAGTAACAGGAGACAAAACTGGAGAAATGACAATGCTTTAAATCCCCAAACAAAGTATTAAGGATGTGGAGGGAAGGGGTATAAGAGAAAAGCAGAGCCAGCCTCTCTCTTTGTCCCTGAGTCCTTGGGCAAGCACCCTCAGTTCTGCAGGGGCTGCCAGGTGAGGTTAGAGCCTGCCCTTCTCAAGAGGTGATCTTGTGCCATCTCCACCTCTGGAGTTTCCTAGAGTGTGCCATTCTCACAGATCACAGTAGGATTCTTGTGCCAGGCGCTGTTCAGTGCAGTAGCCTTGTCCCCATCTCTGTGTTTCTGTCTTTGTCACGTTTGTGTGTGTTTCTCTCCCCCTCTCTCCTTTATTTTCCCTCCCACCTCTCCTTTCACTTTATGTGCCTTATCCTTCC